ATAGATAGATAGATAGATAGATAGATAGATAGATAGATAGATAGATAGATAGATAGATAGATAGATAGATAGATAGATAGATAGATAATGTAGATTTTGTAGGTATGCTGGTCTTGTTGAATTCGGGTCTTTTCCCGTGTAAGATTGAGATTGTCTTGGCAATGTTGGCAACGTCTCACTCGCCATCTTTAGGCTGGATTATATATATCACAGCAGAGCAATTTAATGTGAATCCCATATTAGTATATTGGAATTGTAACTGCAAAAAACACACACCATCTTCTGCCGCACAGTTACTACCATCCCTCATTATGAGGGAAGCTTTTTTTAAATAAAAGTATACAAGAATAGATGTGTTGAAAATAATAATTAAATATACTAGTAGTTACTTGATGAGCTAACTGGGACCAGAATTTCCATTATCAAGTGATGTAGTCATTAGATCAAAAATGATGTTACCACATTAGGGGGTAGCAATTTCAGTAGTTCTAGTCGTAGTCATTATGCTAGGCCCTCCTATTTCTCCTGCCCTTCTATGTTCACTTTAAGCCACTCCTCACATTTGCCTGTTGTTCTCACCCATCTCCGTTTTTTTGTTTCCCCTGAATTCCACTGCCTCACTGCCTCAAATGTCCTGCTACCCCCAGCATTTTGTGCTTTGATGCTTCTGCCACCCCATCATCCCTTATTCTGTTACCCTGCTACCAATATATATTTGATGTCTTTTTCCACCTTTTCTCTGCCCCTGGCGATAAGAGCAGCATAATGCAGGGCAGGAATGAACAGGCCAGGTAGAGTTGAAGCACATCCTTTTGTCATAAATGCAGGTGGTGACTCTAATTTTGATACATGGCTTTTGAGGGGCTCAGTGTTTGTATTTCAAGGACGTGATATGTCTACCAATAGTTCAGTGCCATCACAAATGTGAACAGTCACTGAACAAATGTTCATTAAGTGAAGGCTGTCTGTTATGAACAAAAGAATATGCAATGTCCAGTAAGCTTAAATCCATAACCAAATCATGTATTTGAATTCTTAGCTTGGAGAATGTATTACAAGAGATGGTTATCCTGCAGGAAATATAACATGGTTTAAGAATGGAGCTATTCTGCAGTATACTGAAGAAGGTAGGATTTTGTATCTAGATGTTACTGCATGCACGTTTGTTTATTTTCCTCAATCAGTTTAAAGTAAATTAAGCATAGAAATCATTGGCTTTGTTAACAGTGCTGCACTTTACACAGTAAACAATGTTGATTGAATTTTGTTGTATTTTTACAATTTTTTAAATAATAATTATTGATACAACTTAAAGTAGTTCTTTAAAAATGTTATCTAAGAACCAGCATGATATAATTGTTCTGCATGAGAAGCCTTAAGTTTTAGCCCTCCTTAGGCTCAGAAGTAGCAGGCTGATTTGGGGCCAATCACTTCCTTTCAGTCCCAACCAGCTTCAGAGTCTTGTGATAAAGCAGTTGATAAGCCATATTATTATTGCATCATGCATTCATAAATAAAGCAGTATAAAAAACAAGTGCAGTGTAAAACTCAAATTGATTGAAGTAACTATGTATTGTTTATACACACTTTTATTTATTCTATGGTTCCAATTCTAATTATTTTCATTAATGTGATTCTATTCTTTCTAATTCTATTATGGGTATATTCTATTATATTCTAATTCAAATTCTTATTCTTATTCTATTCTGTTAATTTTAATTGATTTATGCTTTCCAATTTTTTTATATTCTAAATTGTTTTAAGTTCTAATTCTGTTTAAATTCTAATTCTATTCTATAATTCAAATTCTATTCTAATGATATTCTAGCTCTGATTCTGTTCTAATTCTAATTACATTATTATTCTGTTTTAATCTACTTCTGTTCTATTCAGATTTTAATTCTGTTCTAATTCTAAATCTATACTAATCTAATTATTTTCTAATTTTGATTATATTCTATTTCTACTCATTCAAATTCTATTCAAATTCTAATTCTTCTACTCTTATTATAATTGTTCTAATTCTATTCAAATTGTAATTTTGTTCAAATTGTAATTCTATTCTTTTAATTCAGTTCTATTCTAATTCTATTCCTAATTCTAAAACTATTCTAATTCTATTCTAATTGTTATTCTGTTGCAATTCTCTTCTAATCTGTTTAACTTCCACATTTATTCTATTCTGATTCTTTATTCTAATTCCATTCTAATATAATTCTAATTGCATTCTAATTGTATTCTAATTCTTACTTTTTTCTATTCTTTCTCTTGTAATCTAATTCATTTCTACATTTATTCTACCCTAACTCTAACTATTCTACTCTATTCTATTCTATTCTATTTCTTAATTTTATTCTAATTCTAATTTAATTCTGTTTCCCATGCCCTTGCCCCTACTTCTCTTCCCTTTTCTGCATCCCTCTCTCCTCCAAATTCCTCTCCCCATTCTCCTGTTGACCCCTGTCTCCCTCCCTTGCCCCTCCCTGTCCCCTTCACATCCCCACATCCTCCTTCAGTCATTCCATCCCTCCCTCATCCTTGCTGTCTCTTCTGTTCCCTTCTATATGTCCCCTCCCCTTCTTCCTACCTATCCCCGTTCCCTTCTGCCCCTCTTCTAACAATTTCCCTTTTCCTCACTCTCCCTTGCTCTCCCTTACCTCTTATAACCTCACTTACCTCTGATAAATCATGAAAACATTTAAATCCCTCCCGCATTCATTCCTACCCACCCTTCTTCTCCCTGTCCCATTCCCCAACTCCTCTCTCCCTGCTCCTCCACCCTGGCCTACTGTATCTCTTTGTCCTGCACTCCTTCCTCTCCCTCTTCCCCTTCCCCATCCTCTCCCTTGCTCTGGTAATTACCTGCCTTGATGAAGTCATAAAGGTATTAAAATTACTCTCTCCCCTCTCTCCCTGTCTTGTCTCCCCCCCCTTTCCTACTAGGTCCATCCCCCACTTCTTCCCCTTCTTCATCCTGCTTCCTTCCCTTCCCTCTCCTCTTTGCCCTGTCCCTCTCCCCTCCCAATTTTACTCCATCTTTTTTCCCTTCCCCTTTCTCATCTTCGTTTCTGTCTTCCCTGACCCCTACTTCTCTCCTTTCTACCTTTTCTTCCTCCCATTCCCTATACCCATTCCCCTGCCTATCCCCTCCCCAAATCCTAACCCTGACTCTCAGCCTCACCCTCACTCTTAGCCTGTCCCTTACCCTTTCACCTATTCTCATCCTCGCCCTAACCATCTCGCCCCCACCCTAAACCTAACCCAAACACTTTCATTTACCTCCTTAAGTGTTGTCTACTAAAAGAAGGAGGCTTCTCCAGAGTCCAGGAGCCCTACCGAAGAGCAGCTTACTTCTAGGAGGGCATCTTTGCTCTGATAACTTATAACTGACAATAAATGACACTTTAGCCTGCTAGAATGAAATCATAAAGCCATTCAATTCCCAAGGAGATGATCCGCCTCCCTTATCCTCCTATCAGAGTTCATCTGCTCCTATACCTTTTATGACCTACACCCATGTCACACAAATCTCTCTAGAAAGCTACCAAACCAATCACTAAAGCTGCCTATCAGTCATTTTTTTTCCACGGAAGCCATAGGTCTTTGGATGTTGATTGCCTCTTGTTATAGAAGCTCCATTAAGCACTTCAATATTGTGAGCAGCTTAATAGTCTGCTGTTGGCTTTCTAAAGTCAGGAGTTGGAAGCAGACTTGACTGTGTTTAGGATAGCACTTGAAATAGATTTGTCTGCATAAAAATAACAGGATTGAATCTAACAGATTTCACAGATTTTAGTAGCACAAATTTGAAAACTTTGAATCCAGCTCATTGTCTGAAAAGATGTTAAACCAAAATTATTCACCCTGTCACATTTAGACTCATTGCAATATATATTAGGCATTGTTTTCTGTTTGAGAAAGGGGGAAAATATTTTAAATTTATTACTTACTTCTCTGTTCCATGTATATCTCTTGACATCTTGTATTATTTAATTAGTGAAGCTCCTTCTGTTTTCCTCATCAAAGAGGCCGGGTGCTGTAAATTTTTGAAAAATGACAATGGAAATGGAATATGGAGGGCAAATTAAACTGCATGCAAACCTATCCTAGGGGATCAATCTGCTTGTGTGTAACAATGACAAGAGGGTATTCTGCTTGAACAGAAGGTTGGACTAGAAGACCTCCAAATTTTCTTCCAATTATTGTTATTCAGTTATTCCATTTAAAAGAATAAATTTAGGATTAGACATACACAAGCTTTTTATTTGCAAGTAACTTTGTGTAAATCATGCCTTTTCTTTTAAAAGCTGTTGTCATAGATGAACAAATAGATGCAGATAAAGCCAGTGGACTCTATACCATCAAATCTTCCCTAAAATATAAACCAACAAAGGATGACACAAAGGCACAGTTCATTTGTACAGTGACATATTTTGGACCAACTGGACCAGAGATAATACAATCAGAATCAGCAGTCCCTGACATTTACTGTAAGTTTATTATCGTATAAATAACTTCATAACATAGATTTTACATAAATGATGCATTTCCAAAAATCAGACAAGCATTACATATTTATGTACATGCAGTTGTTTGCCATGTCTTGTCCTTCCCTTTTGAGAAAAGGTTTTTATTCCTTTAAATTAAGAAGCAAGAGTGAAATCTGCTACAACCTGTGCTTCCTAATATTTGACTTGCAGCCAAAACTACCTACAAAATGCAGTGGAATTTTCTCTTAACTATATAAGCATCTGAGAAGCTATTCCCCAAATGGGTATTCTGCGAACATATAACTGCGGTTCTGAAAATTCTCAGCAATGTTCATGATGGTTGGCAAAACCTGAGAAAAAGATTACGTATAATTTACCCTATTCTGGGTGTTTTTTTTTCATTAACACATTCTAAATTGAGTAAAAGAAAATTAGATTGCCCCCAAATACCTATTGAATTTACAAACATTTTAAAGAAGAGATTAATTTATCTGATTCATTTGATTTCTTTTTTGAATCTGTACCTTCAGGCAAAATATGCTAGAGGATGGTTTTCAATATATATAATTCTTAATGCAAGCAGGCGCGTGCGCGCGCGCACACACACACACACAGAGTATATAGCTTCAATGTGTTTTATCTAATGGTTAAGGCAGAAACCAGAAGACTCTGAGTACTAACCCTGCCTTAGGTATGAAGCCAAGTTGGGTAATCTTGGTCAACTCATTTCTATCNTTTAGTTAAAGCTATTTATGGAATTACTGCTAAAATCTAAAGTAGCCCTGGTCTGTAAGGAGGATGCTCAAATGTATATTTTATTAGGAAAACATTTCAAGCAGAATTACTTTCTATATTTTTAATCTGAATATTTGGAAAGATTCCATAGCCTTCATCTGTGGCATTTATACATAGAAAACAGTACACTATATTCACCTTCCCTACCTAGCTATAATAATAGATTGTCCTCAACTTATGGCCCTTCATTTAATGACGATTCAAAGTTTCAGAGGCCTTGGAAAAAGTGACCTATATCTTGTCTTCAAAGTTACAATTGTCACGCTATCAACATAGTCACATGATCACAAATTTGGTGCTTGGTAACTGGCTCTTATTTATAATGGTTGCAGTTTCTTGTGGTCAAAATTTGCAACCTACCCAACCAGCTTCCAACAAACACAGTCAATTGGGGAAGCAGGACTCGCTTAACAACTATGTGATTTACTTAACCACCTTGTAGTTTGCTTAACCACCATGGTGATTTGCCTATCAACTACATAAAAGTGAACATAAAATTAAAACTAGTTATCATGAATCACTTAATGACTGCATCAGTTAATGACCAAAATTCCAGTCCCAATGGTGGCTGTAAGTTAAGGACTACTTGTATTATGGTTTAATGGATATCTTACATGTGTATTTTATTTTTTTAATTTCATGCAGGATTTTCTTTATAACACAATGATGTCTCTATTTATTTCATTATTTCAAATAATCTATCCTTATATGTAACATTCTTAATTTCTTATATTTCTTTCATAATATATCCATGTTCCAATAGCTATACTAGTAAAAATGAATAGAGAGTATGACAGGACTGAGGAAAATGTAGTCTTCCAGATGTTCAAATTCTCATAATCTCTAATGATTAATCATGCTACTTAGAGTGAATTGGAGTTGGAATTCAAATCCCTGCCCTTGATTTATACATATATAATGATCTATTATGTAAGATCTGAGTTATACAACAATTGATTTAAAAGCTTAATGAAATGAAGACTTGCAAGACAAAGTGTAACAGGAAAGTTTTCAGACAGACAGACAGACAGACGATGATAGATAGATAGATGATAGATAGATTGATAGATTGATAGATTTTCATGGGTATAGGTATGCTGGTCTAGTTGTATTCAGGTCTTTTCCTGTGTAAGATTGAGATTGTCTTGGCAACATTTCAGCGAGGTCTCAATCACCATCTTCAGGCTGGGTTTTGGATTTAAAGTGTGATCGGAGCTGCTGTCTTTCTGTAAACCTTGGTGGAGGTATGTGGAGTGCTGNCAGATCCACTACCATGGAGCGCTTTATGGGTGGTAAGTAAGACCTTCCCAGTTCTTTTATGTTTTTCTCTAAATTTCATTCAGTTTTACTTTTAAAATGTGTACATGACAACTCTATGCAATAGTTCACTATATCTGTGACATCATCAGTTTTACATAAAATTGATCAAGAAGGCTAGAGCAAGAAACAATAACAACAACATCTGAAAACATAAGTGAACTAGAAGTTGTACACAAAACATAGACATTATATTGTACTGCAAACTTTTATTTAACCTTTTTTTTAAAGGGAGAGCCTGAACCAATTCGAAGTTCCAGTTTTCATGTGTTGACTGATGTAAGAAGAAATGCAACAGGCGAATACAGATGTTCTCTGATTGATAAAACTTTGATAGATTCCATAACAGTTACAGTACATTGTAAGTAATTTTCTTTCATTCCTTCTTATAGTTATATATCATTTTGTAATATATGCCAAGGCTTTTGCCACACTTTTTGTCTCTTGATTGAATTATACATGGATGTTTCTGTCAGAGACCAAGTTTTTTTTAAATTCATATCTGAGGCTTATTTTAAAAGTTCAGAGGTATTTTTTTTTCACATTCATCTTTTTGTATTTCTCTCCTTTGCCTCTAAACATCTGACTTTATTTTTAATCGATATTCAAATTTAATGTGGAATATAAACATTTTCTTATCTTTAACATTTGGACTGGTTAAAGCATAAAAAATTATATTATACCATAATTATAAAATGGTGGTCTTGTTATTGGGAGAGAAGAGAGAGTGATCCCAGTATTAAGGCATAGAGACTGCAATTGTCTGTCACGTAAGATTATGAATACATTACATTTTATTTATCTCTGTATCTTAGATACATGCTCAGAATACTTTAGTTGAGAATTTGCATTGTGGACTTCACTGTCTTAATTTTTTTATCATGGAAGCAAAGTTGAGGGAAGAAGTTGTATGGGAATGCCTCTTACTCTTCTAAACACCATTTCTTTAAAGAAAAAAAATATACAGATATAGTATTTCTTAACCATTTTCTCATTTCACATATTTTTCTTTACCCCAAAAAAAATTTAAGTAAAAATTAAAGTGTTTCATTTTATGCTATCTACTGATTACACGTGTTTGTGTGTGTGTGTGTTCTTTCTCAAACGCACACAAACACACATGCAGTACATACACATACTATATAATACATGCAAATATTTCTGCTATCTTCTTTTGAAGTTTATTTTCAGTACTTTTGTAAAAAATAATTGACTGAGACTTTGAGAAATTGCATCTGTAACTGAAATTACCAAATAATTATGTCTTTTTTTTTTGCTTTATTTAAATTTCCTAAGTAAGCAATGTTTGTGAATATGAATATCAATCCTGAATTTCTTCAACATAGATTTGGATTTGTCACTTACTCCCAATGGAGAAGTTATTAAACAGATTGGAGAAGCATTGCCTGTGTCTTGTACAATTTCTTCCAGTAAAAATGCTACTGTGTTCTGGCTGAAGGTAAATATTTGTAACTTGGCTGTGTTTAATCCATTATTGTATCTGGAATGGTGATACTCTAACGTTCACAAGAACTTAAATGGTTCTTGTTCTATGACCAAATGCAGCCCTCTAAAATATTATACACAGATATTAGAGTTCTTCCAAAATTGTTTCCTAGATTGTAATGTTTAATATTCAAGGAGGAGGAAATGTTCAAACATGGGTAAAATAATATCCACATTTAATGTATTGTTAAATTTAATTTAAACTTGGAAAAAGCTATCTAGCTATTAGAGCGGTTTGACCCAGAACCAGTAAAAACTCAAATCCTCAAACAGGTGTTTTATTTTTCTGAAGATTTGAGTGAGAATCTTCCATAAAATTACTTCATGAAGCAATGTGGCTCTTTCACTTTAAGCAGTGAAACAAAACAAGTAAATTGTTTCCATTTGCGTAGCTGCTCCTTAGCATAACACTTCCACAGAAGCCTCTTCTGGCTTTGGTAAATTCTGAAGAATGCTGAGTAGTCCTCTCAAAAATTTCTGTCAGGTCCAAAGCATAGTCCATGTAAGAGTCATTTGAAAGATTTGAAAAAATGCAAGTCGAAACATATTTGCAATTGCCTCTTCAGTTTTGAGGAGAAAAATCAGGTTGTCTCTGTATTATGTGCTTCTTCATTGAAGTAAATTTAAGTCATTTTGTTCAGGACAAAACTAATTACTACAAGAGCTGGGAGCTCCTCTTTCCTTGACATTTCTAAGCAGAGACTAGATAGCCATCCTTTGGCTTCAAATTTATTGAAGGAAATTACAAGCTCTGCTTTATTTTAGAAGAGGGAATTGCATTGCCTAACTTGTGGAAAGTTGAAAAGTAGATATAAATAGGTTTTTTAAATTTAGTATTAAATACAGTTTAATTGGAGAAGCAGTAAAAAGATTTTTGTTAGTACTCTCCAAAATGGCTAGTTCAAACTAGTTGTGCTGAAGAATATATTTTTTTTCCTGGAAGAAAGTAGGTTTCTAAGGATATGGGCATTTTTTTTTTACAGGATAATAACAGAATGAGGTCAACTCCTTCTTTTTCGAGTTTGCAGTACCAAGATGCCGGAAATTACATCTGTGAAACAACTTTACAAGAAGTTGAAGGCTTAAAGAAAAGTCAAATTCTGACATTGATAGTACAAGGTAATGTAGATTCCTACTATTTTATATTGATGATGTGTTTAGTTTGTATGTTGCTACATAATTAAGAAACGTTCACCAGCTAGAAAATACCCACTTAAATCTAACACTGCAAATAGAAATAAAATGAAAGGTGTTTGGGTAGCTTTTAAGAAATAACAGTATTTTACATGATTCAGCTTTGTGTGTATGGGACATGAAAAATACACATGAATATCTAGATTAATTGGTTTCAAATTTGCACTGTTTAATAATGATATTTTAATTGATCTTGAACCTCATAGTGATTCAGTACTATGAATGTAGCAATAAATAAATAAACAGTTTAAAAAATTCTTTTGCATTTTAAGGAAAGCCTCAGATCAAAATGTCAAAGAGAACCAGCACAGATGGATCTTATAAAACTATAGCCTGTCACGTAGAAGGATTTCCCAAACCTGCAGTACAGTGGACTAGCAGTGGAGGTGTCATAAATAAAGCAAGTAATTTTCTCATTATTTCTTACATGTTTATTTCAACTACAGTAGATATAGTATTGTGAACTTCTTGCTGCTCTCTGAACTTGGCTGCTTCATTATCAGACTAAATTCCAAAATATGGTCTGCTTCCTTTTTCTGTTTTTTTTTTTGGGGGGGGGTTTGCGGAGGGGAATGAGGTGAGGTGCTCATCTAGATAATGTTCTTACACAGCAGCTCTTGGGTTATTATTTTGGTAATGGAACATTTAGTAAATGTGAGGGGTTTTTCAATGGGCTCCTGTTTCTAATTTGTTGCATTTCCTCTGCTGATAGGGATATACAGGAATGGTAGTGTGTTGGTATTTTCTTATTTCCTTATGAATTTTATTCCTTGAAGATGCTATGGATTATTTCATGTGTTTTCTATGGTTATTCCTTTTTATTATGACAAAGATGTTACCTACATATCAAATCCATAGTTTTGGTTGTATGTGTGGGAGCGCTATAGTTTCTAGATGCTGCATTAATGTATCTGCTTTCTGAGAGTGGTGATCTCATGGGTGTTTCTCTGATTTCTTGGTATACTTGCTCATCAAACTGACAGTAGGTAGTGAAGGAGAGATTGATGAGTTCCATGATTTGGATCTTAACCTATTTGGTTTGGTTGGGTGTATTGTGTAGTACAGCTGCTATAGGTTATTTTGCTACTTCTGGGCATCTGGATGTAAAGTATTGTGATATCAACTGAAATCATAACCTCATCTTATTTTATTACTAGATAACTAGGTCTTTGATTTTCTGGAGCCACTTTAGTGGAGAATATTTACTCACAGATGAAGGCAGTATTTTTCTCCTTTGTGAGTTGCTCAAGCTTTTTTGTAAGTTCTTTATCTAAAAAGATAAAGAACTAACAAAAAGGTACAAAGAGGTATGTTGGGCTTGTGTATTTTGTGGCATAGAAGTATGGGAGGACAAGTACACGGCTTTTTATCCACTATTGTTTTTCTGTTGTGATTTGACCTTTCTTAGTTCGGACTTTTGTGGTTCTCTTGATCAGGTCGTCTAGTTTCCTGGGATGAAGGGTTTTTTTTGTTGTCCGGTAATTCTTTTGCTTTTTGTATCTATTATGATCCATACATTAGCAATATACAATTTACTGAAGCAATTTATCATTGAGTAAATAGTATGTTGATAATGTATATATATCATATGAAAAGTACAAAAGAAAAGATATAGTATTTTGTTTCAAGTATAATTTCAAATAATAGTTAATTATATATTTATTTAAAAAATTTAAAAAGCAAAGCATCATAATTTGTGTGGTATATATAAAATAATAATAAACAAAAAATAAATTAAACAAATAATATAAAAATAATGTAACAAAATGCAGTCATAGTCAAGTGTAGGGAACAGGTTTTCAACAGTCCCTATTGTATATACACTATTGATCCTAGTGTATATAATATTTTTTAATATAAAATCAATCTCTCATACCATTCAAAGGGTGTTCATCCCAAATTGTAACTGTATGGGAGTAGGATTGGATTTCCAGAAGAAAAACTGCAGACTTCAGGAACCAGGAGTCACTCAGGTGACTTTGAGGACACAGATAAACCTCCAAGTGCTTCAACAACCCCTGAAAAGGATGCAAATGACCAGCTGTCTCCAAGGAATTTAAATCCTTCCATTCCCCACTACCCTGTCAGCTGAAGAAGCTTCTTGGATGAGAAGCGAAACATCTTCAAAGAAAAAACAAAGTCCACCTGCCTCTTGAAAAAGCATGTTTGGGGCAACCATGCCCTGGATGACTGAGAATCTCTACAGACCAGTCCATATAATTGCCAGTAATCAAAGGTGCAAAAACAAGCAAAAAAACCCCATCTTAGTAGCATAGAAAATAGAACTGGAGACATAAGCGACAGATTTACATATCAACAGAGTTGCCTTATCAGAGAGATGAGTGGCAAATAAATGAAATAAACAAACAAATAAACAGATGAAAATAAATTTGCAGGATAAGTCAGGGTACTATTATACAGGTTCATGCTTGTATGTCATCAGTATAAATAGTTAGCCAAAGAGAGTGGATAGGCATGCACACATACAAACCTGTCCCTTCTGATTCTTTCAACTTTGAAATAACTGTTTTGAAAACTTATTTCCAGACAGAAGAAACTAAATATATCAATGGAAAATTTATTAGCAAAATCAAAATTGCTCCTGAAGACAATATTACATTAACCTGCATTGCTGAAAATCTACTAGAAAGAGCTGTCACCTCTTTGAATGTATCTGCTAGTAAGTATGTTTATTTTTAATATACTAAAGAAGAGGAGGAAAAGACCAAAGGTGATCATATTTCCTTATTTATTTACCTTTACATAAACAGTTCTTAGTATTCTTGTTCACATGCAGGTGACTTTAGGTTAGAATTTTGTTTATGAGTTACTTCATTGTCTTCCCATTAACAAAAGACATGTGTATGTGCATCTTATCTTAGATTTGTGTCACCATGCTACTTTCTGATATTTGATACTTCCAGAATATCTGCAGAAATGCAAATGAAATGTACTTAATACACTGCTAACTGATAAATCTCCATACTGTCAGATCCCATAATAAGAGTTCATCGTCTCTTGGTTTTTATATATTTCATCTTGTTGTCATTCTTTTGAAAAAATTCTTGTAATCTGAGAACTACCTGTTTTCTTTTTAAAAGAGCAATCCTATAGGTGGGTTGAATCTAAAGGCCGAGGAACCACTTAATCCAGACCTTGCTTGCATCATAGTAATAGGATAAAAGTTTTCCTTCCACATGTATGGACATATACTTCCCCTTCATTGTTCAATAAATAGATTAGTTTATTAATGGTTAATTATTGCGTAATTATAAATTAACCAAGAAATACAGTCCACTGAATTTATTGAGATGGCATGCTATGGTCGACTATTGTTAAGATGACAACAGGTTACCAATTTTAAATTAAATAATGCTACCTCAGACCTGGACTACATTATGTCTTAATAATTAATGGTTATAACAGACTACCTTGAGACACTTCTGTTTTCATTTTTAAATATAATTTAGTGTGCTGTCAGAGTTGAGAGGCATTAATGATAGTCAACACTTTTAGTCCATGTAGTTTTTTAGTTTCTCATTTTTTTTCTAGTCAGCATAGCACTAATGGAAAATCAGTTATTACGGAATATGTAATTTCGCAGTGGTTTTAAATAGGTACTGTAGTGGCACTCAGATGAAAATTTCATATTATCTATACACTTTGAATCATTCTCCTAAGCCAATCCTTTTCCTTAAGAGATCACCAACGGTGCACAATTTCTTGCCATAAGTATGGAAAGCAAACTTTGTGGAAACTAATGGTTGAATGTGAACTCAGTATGGTCATGACAAAAGGAATTATAATCATTGTCACTAATTATAACATGCAAACTATTCAGTAGTTGTCTTTAACACACAACTGCATACCCATATGAACAAATTATAACCAAGAGCCATGATGGCACAGTGGTTAGAATGGATTACTGCAGGCTAATTCTGCCGACTGCCAGGAGTTCAGTCCTCACCGGCTCAAGATTGACTCAGCCTTCCATCCTTCTGAAGTTGGTACAATGAGGACCCAGATTGTGAGGGGCAATATGCTGACTCTGTAAACCACTTAGAGAAGGCTGTAAAGAGCTGTGAAGCGGTATATAAGTCTAAGTGCTATTGCTATAACAGTAATTAATACTGTTGAATTATCTGTTTTTTTAATATTCCAATTTTGAATTATGATTATTGTGCTGTCTCCAGACTATACAAGAACATGTGAAGACTTAACATAACAAATAAGTGCATAGTTTGTGCACAATAAACAATTATGTAGATAGACAAATTATTAACTAATTCAAAGAATGAACTTATCTTATTATAAAGATTTACTTCTATTTAGAGAACACTTCTGCACCATTTTGCAAATTCCTGAAATGTATAAATTAATATTATGCACTCTATACTATGGAATTTGCAGTGAGCTATCCAGGGCAGTTCCCATGAACTGTTTGATGGCTCTTTTCATTCTGTGCAGAGTCTCTAGAAGAGTTGATCAAAGGATGATTTCTAAATTCATTCAATGGTGCTAAAGTTTAATCAACTCTCTGTCTACAGTAATAAAGTGACAAAAAGTCAGAATGCAGGCCAGAACAACACATAAATACTTCTTCTGACTAGGCATTTGTAAGATTAAACTTGTCATTTTTTAGAATAAAGCATTTTCACAGGATGCATTATAGATACAAAGTAAAGATTGCTGCCTTAAAAATAAGATTAATCATTTTGTTTTGTAGCTGATGCTGATTAAGAATATTTTGGGCTCAGCTGAAATATAGATTATTAAATATCTTTAAATGTGGAAATTTTGAAGGTGACTTAGATATCAGCAGCTTTATTTTGTTGTTGTTCCTTTGTTTCAGTAAGTATTCGAGAATCTGATGAACCAGAAGAAAAAAGTGGTAAGAACATAAAAATATTCCACATTTAATACTATCAATTCAAAACTGTTCTACTTATTTTTCTGGATTAAGGGTAGAGTTCTAAAAAGGAAAATAAATAGAACTAATTTTAAATGCTAGGTTTTACTGATGTGCAATCAAAATAGTACTGATATTAATACATAGCTATGTAAAATAAAAATTTAATTCAAAAATCATTTTTATTGGAAACAGTAATAATGTCCCAAGTCTTAACTGATTTCAGAAAAGCCAACGTTTGCCTAAATCTAAATCTAACCTATGCACACAAGGATAGTAAGAAAGAGTTGTACTTTTGAGAAAAAAATATATTTTTGACAAATTTACATTGCTTTTCACATGAAACTAAAATGAGTATTTAATACAGTGATACCCTGGTACTTCTTTGAAACTCAGCAAATTTTAATGCTCAATACATTTTGATATGAAAATATGGTCCCAGTACTCTTAATTTGTTTGGTACTCAACAAACAAGCTAGAACTTATCGGTGTTCACTGCCTTGTGATTCTGTATGGGAAAAAATTGTTTGGTACTGATTTTTGGTACTTATCGTGCCTTCCCATACTGAGGTACCACTGTATTTAGTATTTATTAATTAATAATATTTAATATATAGTATTTTAACAAAGAAGGCTGTAATCCTTAGATCATTTACTCCAATAATTACTTGCTAATTCTTTAGTACCTTTATCTGTCTGTCTGTCTATCTATCTCTATCTATCTCTATCTATCTATCTATCATCTATTCATCTACCAGGTTTTCCCAAAAATACAACCTACCCCCAAAACAATCCCTAGCCCAATTTTCACACCTGAAATTAATATAAACCCTGTGCCAAAATTAAGCTTTAGTTACGCCCCACCCACCATCTGCTTGTACAAGATAGGGTGAGGTGCAGGCATAAAAATCAAGCTAGCCCCCTATCAGCTTATCTTAGGACCGTTGCAGCCAAGCCTCCCATGCTCTGATACCTCTTGGGCTAATGCCTGACTTCTGCCACCGCTTGCGGATGGAGTCTGGTTTCTCTTCAGATGATATAAATCTTTCGCCCCACTTGTAGCTGGACGCCACATGGTACATCATGCTGGTGCCACCACTCACAGCAGGATGCCACAAGGTTTGTTGTGCTGTGTGTGCACAACAATATAACTTGGCACACAGTCACCTGCTGTGAGCCATGGCACCAGCACAATCCTCAAGTGGAAGCACCGACACAACAAGCCACAGAAGTTGGGCAGCGGCACAACAGGTATTCGGGCATGGGACGCATGGCTGCAGTGGTCTTAAGCTAAGCGGGTAAGACATCCCCCCAAAATACAAATTGATACTCATTTTGAGGCTGAAAAGAAAATAATCAGGTCTTATTTTTGGGAAAACACAGTATCTATCTATCTATGTATCTATCTATCTATGTATCTATCTATCATATTTGTATATTTTATTATATAGACTTAATTAAGAACCTTTTTTTTATTTTGTAGGAAAAAATGCAGATAGAAATTTTATTGTACAAGAATAAAAAGCTGAAACAATTTATCTTAGTTTTCACCCAGTATAATGGTTCAAGTGTTCTGGCATTGTCAATCTATTTGAAAGTGCCTTATAGGTGCAGTTGTGACAACTGATCAAACTTGGTAGATAACTAAGAGCACAGCTTTTAAACGGGATCCAACAGCATTTATACTCAGTAAATGTGCATAGAGGAAGCCTCGATGAAAAGCAATAATGCCAAATCTACATTGAGATTTAATGTAAAGTAGAAAATACTTGGCAATTTGTGTGATCATTATGTTTTTGTTTTTCCTTTTCCACCCAGAACTAGAAAATCTCAAGCTTAAAAAGCCTCTAAAGGAAATTTGTGAAGGTCTTCTAGGAGTGAGGAGGATTAAAGTAAAAAAGAACCCCCACTCTCAGGCTTCAAACAATAGGAAAATAGCTAAACTAAATGTATTCCTTCCTTCCACTGTTGACAGTTGGAGATAAATTGCTTATCTTGTTTAGCAAAACTTGATTGGGCATAGGATTGCTCTGTTTACTTCTAATGCATCAAAGGTAGATTTTTCAGACAGTTCTCAGACTGCAAAAATCTCATTTGTAAAATCTCAGAATATCTGTGCCATCCTTGTGAAATAAGGACAACACCAAAATGTTTGTAAAGCAAATTATTTAAGGATTGCAGCCAATGTATCTTTGTTCTGTAAATGTGTATGCTCTCATAAGGATAACTTGTTGTTGCTGCTGGTTTTAAATAAGCTTTTGAAAGAAAAAAAAAATAGTTTTGGATATTTTGATCTATAGTGAGTGTTCCATATTTTATTTTTTTCAAGACACTCCATCATCCCTTTCTTCTTTTGTTTTAGATGATAATAGGGAAAATGTTAATGATCAGGCAAAATTAATAGTGGGAATCGTGGTTGGTCTTCTTCTAGCAGCAACGGTGGCAGGTGTTGCTTATTGGCTATACATGAAGAAATCAAAGTAAGTCTTCACTGACTTTCTTAATATTTTATGTAAATAAAATGTGTTATCTCACCAAATCTGTTTTCTGTAGCATTTTGTAAAACCAGGCAAAGTATGTTTTTGTGTTTATTTGTCTAAAATGTTTTTCTTCTCCTTTTATCAAAAGTAATTCCATGGCAGTTTGCAGGTTTTTAAAAATGTATGAATGTTATCAAGCACAAAAATAAATAATGAGATAGCACAAAAAGTATACTGGCGTAGGCTTTCACAGCTAGTGTCAATTAAAAGGTGATGTAGGCTAAATGGCTATGGGCCAATTCTCTGATATCCTGACATTTCATTGGAAGCTGCGGCTGGCATCCGCAGAGGCAGTGATTTTCAATTCAACAAAAGATAGATAGAAATAGAGATAGAGAGATATAGTTAAAACATCCCCAGTGGGAAAAGTACAGACTGAATTGGAAAATTATTGTAGAAACAAAACCTAAAAATAATTATTCAGTCACCCATGGATGACAGAAATCCACTTTCTTCAACAGCATTTTAGACAGCTATATCAGTCAGAACTAGATTACTTAATCACAAACCATAAGCACCCAGTCAGTGCCTGTTTAGAGTTGCTGACAAATTCTCCTAACCTAACTAACTACTCATTAGTCATTGTGATCATTAGTTGAGGTAACCCTGTGACTGAACCTATTTTTCTGATATTTTTCATAGCAGTCAATAAGCAAATCATGTTGTCATTGAGTGAACAGCACAGTTGTTAATCCATTCTTTTGAATTCATTCTTTTGAAATCAACTTTTTTTTTTGCCCAGAAACCAGCAAAATCGATTGCAGATTGTGGCCAGTGGTCATGGGTTTCTACAGCCAGTCGTAAACATGACTCAGTTGCCAAGTCACATGGCCACGGGGGTTGGGGGAACATTTTACAATACTCATTCTAAAGCAATCATAATTTTGAAAGAACATAAAACCACCAGTTGTAAGTTAAGGACTTCTGTGTGCTATGGAGCATATCACTTTGCCTCTGAAGACTCTAGCCACAGTCACCAAAAAAACATATCAAAATTTTAGAAATTGGACTGTGATCATTTAGCAGAGAAGTCCTTCATTGTTTGAAAGCACATAAAATTTTATGTAAATAGTTCAAAAACTCGAGCATTTTTTTTCCAAAGCTGCATTTCTCTTAATCCATACCCTATTTCTCCGAAAATATTGCAACACAGCAGCAGCCATGAGGTGACCATGCTCACTGCCTCCTGCACCTCAAAAATAATAAGGCCAAGTACTTATTTCAGGAGTCTTATTTTCGGGGAAACACAGTAGACAAAATGCCTCTTTGCAATTTTTACACATCTTATTTATGATGAGGAAAGTACATAAGAAAAAAAAATTATTAGACTCAGTTTTAGTGCATTGGGAATGGGGGTGTTGCAAAGACTTATCTACCCCTCAACTAAAAATAGTATATAATTATGAGACCATATTAGAGGGTTAGCTAGTAGGATTATAAGTTTGAATGTTGTAACTAACCAATAAAATTGTTTAAAAATAAGCAGATACTATGTTGTCTTAAGAAACAGTTGTTCGATAGAAATAATCACCATAAGTATTAATTTTCACTCATGTTAATTACAGTCTCTTCCTAGGTAATTGCAGTGGACATGCTGTAATTGTGATTAGTTCATTTGAACATTTAATAGAACAAAATAGGGCACCATCTGGTCAGAGTAATAGTTATCAGTACATATTCCCTGTAGCCTGAAGTTGAACTGCTTTGTGTATAGTTGCTGGGTTTGCTTAAGGTATATTAACTGAGGCTCAGAGGACATGAAATTCTATGTGTTGCTCACATTTTTTATGACATGCTAAAAAGTTTAAAATATGAAATAAAAAGTCCTGTGGTGTGGTTTATGCATTTTTCCTTTGTTTGAAAAAGCTACTTTATATATAATATAGTTTATTTATTTATTTATAGGGTTTGTATGCTGCCCACTCTCGAGAGACTCAGGGCGGCTTACAGATAAAAAGGAAGGGGGAACATACAAAAATTAAAAAACCATTAAAATTCCACAACGTTCATAGCTTAGGATGGGGCTGGAAAGATCAACAGCCCCAGGCCTGCCAGAACAGCCAGGTCTTGGTCGCTTTGCGGAAGGCCGGAATGGTAGTAAGGATCCAGATCTCCATGGGAAGATCATTCCATAGGGCCGGAGCAGCTACAGAGAAGGCCCTCCCCTGGGGAGTCGCCAGCCGACATTGACCGGCAGATGGAATCCGGAGGAGGCCTAGTCTGTGGGATCTTATTGATCTCTGGGAGGTAAATGGCAGGAGGTGGTCTCTCATGTAGCCAGGTCCTATACCATGTAGGGCTTTAAAAGTAACGACTAGCACCTTGAAGCGGGTCTGGAGACCAATGGGAAGCCAGTGCAGCTCGCGGAGGATAGGTGTAACCTGAGTGTACCTAGGTACGCCCACTATCGCTCGCGTGGCTGCATTCTGGGCTAACTGAAGTCTTCGAACACTCTTCAAGGGCAGCCCCATGTAGAGCGTGTTACAGTAATCCAGTCTTGAGGTGACTGGTGTTTTATACAACTGAGTGTTAGTGTTTTATACAACTGAGGTTTGACATCACATATTAGCATGATTTCTTAACTATCTGATATATCATGACTCTAAAATTTCAAAATATAGGCCATCTATTTGCTTATTTGTAAAGTAAGCTCTTTGTCATTATCATTGTTGATATTTAAAAATAGTCTTATTTACTGCAAATTAGTATTCAATGTATAAAATAGCATAACTGCTATTCAGGGACATGAAGGTTTGAGTATGTATAAAATAAAAAAGAATCGATTTGTTCATTAGTAAGACAAAATAAAAATTATTCTTTCCTATACTTTATTATGCCCTTGGCTTTGACTATCTCTTGTCAAGTTTTCCTCAGAAAAGTTGAGTGGAGGTGGGGGGGGAGTGTTTTTGCTTTGCAGAATGTATTAGCCTGCAACTTTCCACAGTTATCCCCTATGAGTTGAAGTAAACTGGGATTCCTTTAAATGTGGGAGTTAACATGCTTAGTCACTGTATGTCAAGTCAGAAGGCAGGAAAATTGTATGCCTGATAGCTTTTGATATTTCTATCCATTCATAGTGATTCTTAGAACTAAATTGGGGATCCAACGGCCCATAAAAAGGGCTGCTGATACAAATCCAATAATGAAAAGTTTCAGATCATTTGATAAGCCTTCATGCATATATGAAAGTTGTCTGCTGTGTAGAAATCCCTGTGCGATGTAATAACATGCTATTCCCATGGAGTATCTGCTCACTGCCAAAATCACAGCACAACTTTATAGAGAAGACCAGCTGTTCATTTCTAAGTTCAGTTCTGCTTCTGGACAAGGCCTGAATTAGTTTAATTACAGTGAATGAAGTTGCTTCCCAAAGCTAAACTAAATAAGTAGTCTTGCATTGTGGCCTTTTCTTTTCTTAAAATTTCTTCCTGATTTCTTCCTCCCATTCTATCAGCAGCAATTATGTAAACCAGCTAAAACAAGTTATAAAGTTACCCATTCAGACAAAACTAACTATATGTATTTATTTTTCATAGGGACAATTGAAATACCTTTGAAATTTAATTAACATTTAATTAACTAATACTATAGCTTAAAACATATAATATCATATTGCATTTGTTCTAATACTATAATAGTGTCTAATTCTACACAGAAACAAATAAGTATATGTCACATTATATCACAATTTCATTCCTATTCACTTTCATTGGCTGATATCTTAAAAAGATGAGAAAACTAATACTAAAACACATCAAACATATTTTAATGGTATATTGTATAGAAATTATTATGCCACATCTCACTATCAGTTAGCATTTAGGCTTCAAGTGCTTTTAGTCTTGCTTAAAAATTTGGTCTGGCACTTTTATTACATACAGAAGCCTAGGATTAATTTTATATTTTTATGCTATGACACTGTGCATACACTGCTCTCATTTAGTTATTATTTTCTTCCCATCCATACAGTCTATTTCCTTTTTAACATTTATTTCTTTAAATGCATCAAAATGATCAATCAGCAAATTGTCCTTTATTATTTCTTTGTTCTATTTGTAGACCTAGTGCTGAACTTGTTTTATTAACTGCAATAATAATAATATAAATGTGTTGTCAGTAGTTCACATTAATTTATGAAGAGGGCCAATTGGCTTATTATCAGTTTATTTAAAGCTGATAATGAAATTAACAGAGATTCTGATGGAACTGAATGTTACTAAATTATAGATAATTACCAGACCTATCATTTTAGGATAAACGCAATCACTTGAAAGATTATTACAGGTAATCTATTTTGAGCATGCATGTGTGCCATATGAAATAATTGTTGCTGCTTTGATGAAAACAGTGACAACATATTTAACAAAATAAGATTCAATAGAAACAGCTGCCCAAGAGGTGGAAATACTTTCTATTTTTAAAAATCTCTAATGTATAACCCACTCACTCATTAATTTTGGTATTCTTATCAATCATCCTTCTCAGGCACTTCTGATCAGTTATTCACATCACATCTATGAAAGTTATTTCTTCCTGTGTGTTTTTGGTCTCTGCTGTTTTAATATAATCCCTACCACCCTCTTTGGCAAGACTGTAACATATGGCATTGTAAAAGGTGATTTTAGATTTGTGGTTATTCATCAAAAAGTCATATGTTTTCCACTAAGAACAACAACAAAAAATAACTGGGACCTAATTAGAGATTTAGCTATAACTGAGTATTGGTATGGTATCAAGTTCAAGTTTTACCTATAGCTGTGATCTAATTTTTCTATGTTACATATTATTTATAGCTATAACATGATTTCTCTGTTATATGGCTTCATATTATTTGAGAATTAAATTTCTTTTTCTAAAATATCTGCAGCAGTTTTCTAACCCAACAAACTATCAAGTTTTATATGACTCCTCCAACAATATACCTTTGCAGGATTTCTACACTCTTGTTCTCTGCACTCAAACTTTCTTGATATCTTTTGTTCAAATTCCATATTGAGCATAGGCATCAGCTCACTAATCATTTCTTTAGAAGAGGTAGCTATAGGATCCTCAAAGGGAATTCATTTGTAGCACCTTTGTGGGTTTCATGATATACCTCATAAAGCCAAACTGTTTAAAATGTTATCACATTGATATAGATGCCTCTCACCTTACTAGATTGTGAAAGTTTTCTCTATGTAAGAAAAGCTTTGTCAGGATAATGATTTAATAGCTGACCAGCTGCTGTAATGTTATAATTCTGTAATACTGTAACAATGATCCAATGATAGTAATGAGTCATTTGACCGCTACAGCTTTAAGAGGCTGTTAATATAAGAGAGCCCCTGTGAGGGCGTATCTCCCTCTCCATGTATGCTCCATGCTATAGTGGATGATTGATTGCCTGACTTTGCCTAGTGCATGTATGTATATACTCCTTGTATATAAACCACTGTTTGAAAGACAAACCTCTGTTTACTGGCTTGTGTTTTGGTCCTGGCTTGTCTCAAAATAGTCACACTGTGTGCACTCTTGACAAGCTTTAAAGTGTATTAAATTACTCAGATCCCCAGGCAATTAAAACATGAATTTACAAATAAAAGTGTATGTCTTCGTTTAAATTAGACCTACTTCTGTTTTGCTTTACCTTTCTTGGACATCTAGGGGTTTTCTGTGGGTATGCATTTTTGAGGGTTGGTTTCAAGAGATACCTGGATGCCTGTAGATATGGGCCAGTTCTTTTTGTGACTAGCTGCAAAAACACCCTGTGTTATATTACAAAATATATTTTGTAAATATAGCAGAAGTAAATTCTAGTTAGTAAATAAATGCATTTTTAGCTTAAATGTTGTTTTGGAAAAGAAAATATAAGTATTAGAATGAGATAAAACGTACATATTTGAGGGAAAAATAGTATCAGAATTATGGAATGCTATGTGAAATAAGCAATAGTTTTATTTTTATTTTATAGAACTTGCTCATAATTAATTGAAATTCGGCTAAATCAGGTTTTTGCAGAGAAGGAACAGCTAGTTAGAAAGATATGTCTTTTAGATTTTAATTATCCTTCAGTTTAGATTTCAGCAAAACAGGTATTATCTCAAACCATATAAATAAAGTATTTTAATGATAAAATGAGTTTATAGTATTTCGGTGTTAATATGCATATTATTTGAAGGAAACAAGAATTAAATCCTGATGATAGTTCCTCAAGCTAAAAAAGTAAATGTATATATTTATAAATGAGAGAAAAATAGAGTTTGAATGTTGTCACTAGGTATATATTATTCCAGGATTCACTATTTTAGAGTCTTTCATTTGCCAATAAAATCAGATTCCTGTGTTGGTAGTGGAACAATTTTATGCTGCAGAAGTCAAAATGCTGTGCATCTATCCAGTAATTGGATATAATAATAACAGCAAGATGAGACATTAGTATTTTTATTTCTGTTTCAGATCAGCTTCAAAACATGTAGCTAAAGATCTTGGAAATATAGAAGAAAATAAAAAGTTAGAAGAAAACAATCATAAATTGGAAGCTTGAAACACCAAACTATTTGATTGCCATTCCAGGTATGTTTAACAACTTTATAAGGTATTATCCCCTCTGAATATAATTTAATCCTTACACTAGTTAAATTATGGGATAAGGAATTTCTTATATGTATTCATATCAAGAGAAATCCAAGTCTAGCCATTTAAAATTTAAAGTGTCTTCCACAGCAATATGTTGTCATTTTCAATGTTATGGGGGGAAATATGCTTTAAAATGTACTGTAAGTTACACTTTATAGCCAACTGAACCGGTGCTACCTTAGACAATCCTGTAGAATGCATAGCAGAGGTGGTATTCAGCCGGTTCTCTCCGGTAGTGGCGGCTGCGGGAAGTTCCGCCCACCAAATTATGATCATGTGACTTCAGATTCTACAACCAGTCCTAAACATGAGCTGGTTACCAAGAACCTAAATTGTGATCACATGATCATGAGGGTGGTACAATGGTTATCAGTGCAGACACAAATTATAAGTCACTTTTTCTGAGGTAGACATAACTTAGAACTATAAGTCAAAGTGTACCTGGACTCAATTGTATTCTAATGTCATTAAAAATCCACAAGAAATGAACTACAGTTTCGAAAGTCCTGACCTTATACAGATTAATGGCTATTATAAAGGGTTGTCCTATATCACCACTCCAGTACGACTGTTGCTAACTCATTAAAGTGAGTTAATGGCAAAACATTTCTGTATTTTTAAATTTTAGTTTGACTAATCTTCTTTATTTAACTATTGAACAAATACAATAGGATGACTATTGAGATAAATCTCTCTTGGCAGACATCTTTGTATTTCTTGCCTTTCTATATCTAAGGCTTTCCAGCTTAGAAAGCTCTTAGGTAAGTGGAGTGGAATGATGTTCAAGATCCTGATAATATCAAATATATTTCTCTGTCACAAATTCAGCTCATAGTTTCAGGGGTTTTTCCCCCAAAATGCCAAATTCAGAAAATAATGGATTGGATTAAGGATCTGACTCTAGACAAATCAGACATGCTCATACTAAGATCAATGAATGAGGAGTATTTCACAATTTGGGCTTGCTCCTAGAACCAGATAATGTAACTCTCTGGTTTCGCAAATAGACGCCACAGCCAGAAGCAATTTTTTTTAAAATTAGATTTAGCTGATACACCAACTTGGAAGAAAATTGTGTTAAATTAAATGGACTGCTTACTTTTGTATGGATAATGTATTTCATTTCATACAGAATGCAGCAGGAATACTTATCAAAGAGAACATATAATATATGTTGTTAAAAATACTGCAGTGCTACATAATACTTTTAAAATTATAGTGTGTGTTAATCTAGGTTACCTAAAAGAAATATCTTCTTTGTATGATCCTTTCTAGATACTGTGGCTTATTTGGGATCAAATTTTCAGTGCAGCTACTCTAAATTTTTGGAATGCACATCCTGCTTAGTTTGAAGGAACAGATTACTTTAGTGACTTTAAAGGGAGCTTTAAAATATTATAATATTTTTATTAATTATTTTAATGGCTATTATTTTGTATTTAATGTTATTGAAAATTACTAGGATATTTCACTAGTATAGAAAGATTCATCAGCAAAATAATATACCTCTTAGCTAATAGGATGAAGGCAATAATACATTGCCATACACAGGTTTAATTAAGATTCAAACTTTTTGTATCATACCAAAAAATCTTAATTGACCAAAGACGTATGAGCTGTATTTAGTACATAGCATCTTAAAATCTTAAATAACAACACTAATAACATAAAATTTGGCTACCTTCTTGGGTATTTCAAATGGCCTTAGTCTGAAATTGGAACACAATTATTTTATTGGGTAGTAGTTTGAGGATGAATGGAGACCCTAATTATAAGAAAATCCTAAATACTTACCATATTTTTCAGAGTATGACACATTGGATTATAAGACGCACCTAGATTTTAAAGGAGGAAAACAAGGAAAAAAGTATTCTGAACCAAATGGTGTAGTAATATATTATTTAATAAAATACCAGTATAGCGGAATAATTTTTACCACCATATATCCTTTTTACAACTCTTCAACTCTGGCACTTGAAGTGCACAAGTCTTAAAACTGTACCCCTAACACTTTAAAAAACCCCAAAAATAAAACTTTATTTTTTAAAGCAGTTTGCACCCAGGGAAAGTTGGAACACCAGCCACACACCACCTCCACTGACTTCTCTTGTGCTGCCAAAACCCCTCGCCACTCTTTGCCTGTGGTCACCCCTTTAAGCTCCCACCCATGGGGGAAGCATGGTGATCCCCCTGCTTGGCAGTTGCTTGCTCCCCACCCCTGAATAGCATGAAGGCTGAGGAAAGGGAGAGGGGAGCTGTGGCAGGGAAGGAGTCTCTGGTGGCTGCAGCAGTAAAAGCGGTGGTGTCTGGAGCACAACAGCGGGCTGCCAGTTCCGGCTCTCCCTTCCCCGAGCACATCCTGTTGCTGCTGGCACAGGCGGGGCTCTTTCCATCGCTGCTACTCTCCAGTGGTGGCAGTAGCAGTAGCAATAGCAATAGCCCTGCCGTCCAGCTGCACCCACCATGGGACATGCTCGAAGAAGGGAGAGCTGGAGCTGGCCTGGGGTTGTGCTCCAGACGCTGAGGACACTTCCGCTGCTGCTGCAGCCACCAGAGACTCCTTCCCTGCCACCGCTTGCATGGGATAGGGCATGAACATGGGAAAGGAGGAAAGGGCACCCGGATCCACGCAGTAGGCAGGAGAGATGAGCAGCAGGAGCTGCTGAAAATTTGGAGGCAGAGTGGAGGGAGAGGGCGAGAGGGACTGGTACATGCTGGGGATTGTCCCGGCCATCACTGTCGCCAAGCTGGAGCCAGCCTTTGGGGTGAAAGTGGATAGGTCTCCCCGATACACTCCAGCCTTCCCTCCTGGCTCCCCCTTTCACACCTGGTATGAGTAAAGTAAAGAAAGAAATGTGCAGGAACTGAACCCCCTTTCTGCCTGCTGTCCCCCCCACACACGCTGGTGTGTATGTATGTGTGTTGTCTCTGCCTGTGGGCAAGTGGGCGGAAAAGGGATTCAGCTCCTGCACATTCTCCTACAGCACCCTCCTCCTTCGCAGACTCGCCTTCTCTCCTGGCCAGAACCGTTTCAGGTGGCAGATCTGGCCAGAAAAAAAGAGAAGGTGAATTTGTGGAGGAGGAGAAGGTGTGCGGCTCTTTCCTCCATGATCGCTTTTCAGGCAACAGCTCCTGAGGGGGCCAAGCCTTCCCCGCTTGAAACTTCTTCACCCTGAGGGCCTCCATGCTCCAGGCAACCAGCAGCAGAACCAGCAAGCCAGCAATCATCTGGCTGCATCTGATCTGCTTGCCCTGTGCCCACGCACAGTTCCTGCGCCCTCCCCGGACCACGTTGCCTACTCACTTTTCTCCCCACCTCCCCTGGCTGATATGGCTGGCTAGGAGAAAAGACAAGGTGGGTCTGTGGAGGAGGATAAGGGTGCGTGGCTCTGCGATGTGAATCAGGGAACTGGGGAGAAAAGCATTTTCAGGTGGCAGCACATGCTTTCAACGCAGTTCCCCAGGCAGCTTCGGGAATCAGGCTCCATGTGGAGGGAGGATCCCCACTGCCCCTAACCACTGGAAAATGTGACATGTGAGGGGGTGGGCAGCACTACATTCGGAGTATAAGACCCACCCAGATTTTCACCCTCTTTTCTGGGGGGTGGAAGTGCATCTTATACTCTGAAAAATATGGTATTCCCTGTTTGGTGAGGTACATTAGATATAGAATCATTTCAGTGCAATAAAGAGGGTAAATGAAAGGCTTCATAGAATTGGCATGTAAGAATTGGAAGAGATATAGTAAATAATCTAGTCTACCTTTCTATTCAGCATGAGAATATATTACTACAGATAGTTCTTGATTTATGACTATAATGGAATTTTGGTCATTATAGATCATTAGTTGAGGCATTACATGGCCAGACTAAATTTTTTAACCAGTTTTACAATCGTCATAAAGTGAGTCACTATGGATGTAAAGTGAATCACAAGGTAGTTAAGTGAATCCATTCGTCCTAATGGATTTACAAAAACATTGTAAATTGTAGTCATATGATCATGGGACATTGCAACCAGTCATAACTGCAAACTGCTTGCTAAGCCTCTGAAATGTGATTATATCACTGAGGAGGGAGCAGTAGTCGTAACTTTAAGTATGGGTTATAAGTGAGTCATAAGTCGAGGACTACCTATACATTTCCAACAGATAGCCATCCAACCTCTGTTTAAATGGGAGTCTTACTTCACAAAATGGTCTGTTCTATTTTGTACAATTCTTACCAATAGAATTTTTTTTTCTTGATGTCACATCACAATCTGTTTTCTTGTAATGTAAATCTTTATTTGCTTGTCCTGACTTCTGGAAGTTCTTAACCACTCTGCTTCATCTTCTTCATGGCAGAACTTCAAATACTGGAAGACAGCTATTATTTTTCCTCACAGTTTTCTGTTTCCTTCACTAAAAACTCAGAAGAATTTTCCTTAGTTATCTGCTTTATAAGCACAAAGCAATGTATGGTTTTTCTCATCTAGTTTCTCAAAAACTGTTAAAAACAGTGTAATTGGGGAAGAGTGGTAAACACTACATAGCCAACTATTTCTGGAAACTATTAATATCCTAACAAGATATGATATGTAGTATATTGCTTTTGCTGCTAATTTCCAGACTACTGTCATTATTCTGCCATTCATGTTTGCTATTTAATTTCTCTTATAGTTTTCAATTTCAATAACAATCAGCAAGAACTTTCTAGTATTATAAACGTGAACAGTGATGGAGCAATTTTCTTTACTAATTGCTGTTACATTAGAAAATAAAATTTCAACCATATTTTCTGTGCCATTTATGCCATCTTTATTTATTGTCTTTGTTCTGGTTTTAGAAAATAAACAGACCAACTGAAGCATGAACATGGATTATGTTTAAGATATATAAGAAGATGAGACGGCTTATACAGATCATTGTTTCAAGTTTTCAAAAAATATATATCCCGTTTTCTCAAGCTTACAAAATTTCAGCAAAACTAATTTTGGCAACAGCCGTAATAATAGGTCAAAAATTGTGTTCAGTTTGAATATATATATTATTTTTTTGTAAATGTCTGCACTGAAGATTACTTTTGGTTTGCCTTTATGTAAATTTTTTACGTAGCTATTTTTATACACTGTAAGGCTTTGTTCTGGGAGTTGCTGGTAATCTGATGTATAGTGTTTTTATTTTCATCGTTTTTGCACCCTTTAAAGAGGTACATTTCTAATTCTGACTGCTATCAGTAAATCTACTACTTTGCACAGTGAGTATTTAATTTATGAAATTGCCTTATGGGAAAAGGAAACATTTCTTTGTTTTTCAAAAATCACTGTAAGAAAAAATATTTTAAAAAAATATGTAAGGGAAAAATAGAAAAAATCAAATTAAACACTTTATAATATAATACAAATCTGCTAAACTATTAATAACATGTACATAATTGTCAAAGGGTAATCAGGTATTATTCAAGATTCATGTTATTGTGTATACCGATGTCTATTATGAAGTCTTTTTTAGACAGGAAAAATCTTTTTATTGATAGCATTCTGAAAAACAATTGTTTTTTCAATTACATGATATATAGTATGAATGACTGGAATTAAGAATTAGTTCAGATTTTTTTTGTTATCCACTGCCTTAAAATTACCTTTGTTTTTTAAATTTCAAAAAGGAAAAAAAAATAATTGGAGGTTTTTTTTCTTTTTTCTTTTAAGTAGTCATACTTAAGCTGCATTTTTCCACAAAATAGAATATATATATATTTTTGTGTGTATGTGTGTGTGTTTGTTAACAACACTACAGATATTGCACCTTGAGATGATTTTAGTGTTTTTAACTGGTACATAATTTATCAAAAGTACAGAAATTGTAACAATAAAATGAAATCTATGTATCTTTAGTTACACCCAAGACTGTAACTTTGTAGACCTGTTTTATGCTTTAGAATTTTTTTAGAAAGTTAGCATAAAAAGAAACATTTGGATAGATCAGGACAAATAGTGTTTAGCAATGTTTCCTCTTTTAGCAGAAGACTAGGACATAATAACATTTTTTATCAGCAGGAAGATAGAATTAGAATAAGCGTATGGCTTGGTTCACCGATTTATGAGTCTGGGGAAAGGATGAGTCTCTAGCTTATTGGAAAGTTCTTAGAAAAGAAATGGAGTTGGAAATTAGGAAATGCATTTTGCCACACAGGAGAGGGGAGAAACTGTTGTGATTTTGTAAAATGTTAAATGTTTGGGCAGTAGTGATTAATATCTTAAATAAACCCTTTCTATAATGTATTTGGCATGGATTAAATACATGAAATGTTCTAGAAATTCAATAGTGTAAAAATATTATAGAAGAATCCTGTAAAAAGTCCTCTCTGCACTGGTTAAGGCTTTATTTGGCAATGTAACAACAGCAAATCTTGATAAATGTTAAACCAAAGTTAAAAGGGGGATAAAACCAAAGTCTTGTGTTCTATATGGCTAAGCCATTTATGAAAGCTATGTAAATACTGTGATTTTTCTTTCTTTTCCTCCTTTTCTTTTTTTAGAATTTGTTTACAATGATTCTAAAATTTTTAAGCACCTGTTTTCCAAAATAAAATGTGAACACATGCAAAAAAGATTATATATAATTTGTTCTGATGTGAAGTAATCACTACCTTTAAAAGAAAATTCAACTATTATGAATATAGGAAAGGGGAAAAAAGATTTAAAGTGCTACATATTGGCCTTGGATAATATGAAATATAAAAATAAATACAAAAAAGTATTTCCATTTAGGAAAGGAGATCTCTTTGCTCTATTAATAAAAAATAAAATTATTCACACAACTGCTTGACCATGCTTGAAATGAAACTGAAAGAGAGAAAAGTGGAAGTGCTTAAATTCTGCATCCAGTGTCATCATGAGAAAGGACTAAAAATTTCTAAATTCTACTTCCCACTGTTATTTTGGGGGAGGGGTGCCTGCTCTACTGTTCAGAATTCATGCTAAACTTGTTACCGAAATCTACAGTGAAAATTAATTGTTGCCATTAATGCCTGAAAGACAATAAAAGCGAAGTATGTTTTCCCATTCCCGTGTGACATTTCAGTTCAAAGATATTATTTGTGTATAAAATAAATTTTTGGATATTATGGTAGTATGAATCTTCAGCTTTCTTCAGGTATTTTGACGTGTGCCAAATGAAACATCTTCATGCATTTTATTTATCTTAATTTATACCTGTTCCTTATATAATTTATAAAAGTTAAAATATTTAAAAGCAGAATTTAACACTTAATTATGAGGTACTTGTTTTATTTTATTTTTATTCTGCTCTTTCATTATTAAGAGAAGAGAACTTTACAGGTAGAATCTGAGTTCTAAGTTCCAAGTTTTATTTTTTTATCCAGCATCTTTATTTAAATCTATATTCTACAATATATTGAGATAAAATTAACTGTCATGACTATGAACATGGCTCAACATGGCTCATGGCTCAATGAACATGCTTATTATTTCAATGTCACAAGGAAACGATACTATATTTTATTGAAAATGTTTGTTAATTTAATATTTCAGTGACAGAATTTATTCATTTTAGACCATTCTTTAAATTCATAGTCCAGTAAAATTACTTCCACGTGAGTTGCATCTTTGGCCAATAACCATTAAAAATAAAAATAGCAAGATAGGAATTCTTTATTTAAGCCAGAACTTTGTTTCAATGTTACATTCAACATTCTACTATTCTAATTCCTCTCTTTCTTTTTCCCATTAAATTAGCAAGAAATATCCATTGTTTTACTGGAGTAATTTCATTATTTTCAAAATTATGAATAAGACGGAAGTTTGGCAAAACATAATTCCCCTGAAAGAGAAAATGTTGATTATTCTCCATCTAGAAAAGCTTAAATCTATTCCAGTACTTCACAAAAACAACTCGTAACTTTCAATTTTAAAGTTTAACATAACATTCTTCTTATGTGCTCATAGTTTTTTAAACATTCCTTTGGAATGTTTAAGAATAAAGGCAAGAATAAAAACTTTATTAATGCAAGCAGTGGAAAATAAATAACCTTTACTAACCAAGCTACTGATTAAATTTCAATCACTCTGATGTGATTTTAGACTATACAACACTTTTTCTCTGTCTAAGAGATTTTAATATACAACGTTTTCCATTTGGAAAGTGAAAACTATGAAGAGGAGATCAACAGGAAGGATATCTTCTCTACATTTTTCTAGAGAAAAATTGAATAAATCCCGTTACTGGAGTGACCCACCAGTCATAATCTGATTGATTTTACCAGTATTTTGCGGGAGATTATGTTTTACTGGATTGGCTCTGGACCAATTTGGGGAAAACCAATCTGACAGGAAAGATTGTTTTGAAAATCTGTCAGAATGATAGCTGTCATAGCTGCTAAGAGGTCTTAATAGGTTAAATATGCACATCTACACATGTAGTAACTAGTCAGTAGATTAAATAATTCTAAATGTAGGAACATTTGTGCTAAAAGATACTGGTCTGATGACTAATTTTTCCATAGGCCATAGGTAATAATATCAGGAAAGTGAAAGAAAGAGACAGAGGACTTATATCTGGCTGCATAAACCAAACCTGAAGAACAAATGGATATACTGTAAAACCAGAATTGATAATGCAGCAGAATAGAAAATGCTCTCACTGCAAAGAACTGAAGAAACAGGGAAACACCTAGTTAGCTGCTGTAAGAAGATTGCAGTCTGATTTCAAAACCGGTATAACAAATTAGCAAAAATTGTGAGTTGGAATATCTGCAAGAAATACTATTTGCTTGCAAGCAAGAACTGATGAAACCATCAAAAAAACAATGTAATCAAGTAGCTAAAGTGCTCTGGAATCTTAGCATTCAAACAGAATAATAACTAAAAAAAAGACAAAAAAATCTAGATAGTGACAATAGCACCTAGAAAAGCACAGGAAAAAAAATAACAAAATGCAAAGATTTGCAAATAGAAGTAGAATTTCTGAGGCAGAAGAAAGCAAATATAAGCAAATACCAATTGTAATAGGCACCTTGGCTACAAACCCAAAATATTTGGAGCACCATTTGAACACTTCTGGCATTGACAAAATCATCAGTCAATTGCAAAAGGCAGCTTACTTAGAACAACTTACATCCTGCAATAAAACAATCTAACAATAACATCTGCCTATCCAGTTGTATCCCAGATCTTTGGAAGGGCTTCATAAGTGGATAAAAATGCCAAATCCAGTCTGAACATTTTGCTGACTGCAATGAATCATAATAAAAAATAGGGTTCTTCGTAAACCAAATTCTAATATTTCAAATAAAATATAGTCAAATCCCAAATCCTCAGCCAGTGCCAAACTAATGGCCATTAAAAGAAGCATATTGAAAATTACTTTCCAAAGCATCTGAAGGCCAGACAAGGAACAATGGATGGAAACTGATTGAGAGATTTAACCTAGAAATGACATTTTCTGACAGAAAAATCAACCAATGGAACAGCTTGCTGTCAGCAGTTGTGGTGCTTTATCACTGGAAGCTTTCCAGAAGAGACGAGAATGCCACTTATCAGAAATGATATGGGGTCTCCTGCCTGAGTAGGTTGTTGGACTAGATGACTTACAAGGTCCCTTCCAATTCTGTTATTCTAAGTCTAAAGTCCAAAAGGGAGGGGAAGTCAGGAGTGCCAATGAAAACAATGTGGGAAATCAACATTAAGAAGATTGTCTTCTGCCCCATTTTCATCTCTTGAGAGGACAAGAACTTACGTTCTAGACAATCTCAAAGAACATTCATTGTGAAAAAGGCAGTCGCTAATCTGTACCTGCGCCACTAAGTGGTGCTTTATGGGTGATACCCAGACATCTAGCTTGCTGCTGCCAAAGTACCAACTACGGGTTATACTACAATAAGAAGTTCTATCAGCAGTCTAGCCACTGTATCCCTGACTAGCTGCATATTAGTCATATTCAAAGGGAGCTCCACATAGGGCCCACTGCTGTTGATAAGAGCATGGTCACTGTTGCCAAGCCTTCTTCCTGGTGGGGCTGTAATTCTCATACCAATTAAAGCTTGACTGAGGCTTCTTTAACTTCAAGCAAAAATCTCCTGCGACAAATCCAAGAAAAAATCCATGTCACGGATCTGTTTTTAAGGAGAGCAGAATCCCATTTATACTAAGAACCAAAAGCAATGTAGATTTTTCATGCCAACTTAACCAGAATGACTTTAAACTGAATCTTTTGGGGATTGGAGACAGAAAGTGCAAGATAAAGTGGAAAAGTGTGACAGTGATATTATAATAGTAACTATTGCGCTTTAGTCATGAGGATTACTGGCTCATAAATGTATTGCTATTTGTTGTATGTGTACTAATGTTTAGTATGGAAATAAAATTACTAGGGATTTTTAGTATAGGAAAACAAATGTAATTTAATAGATGTAGTAGAAAACTGATGAAATTACTCCCATTAGTGGAATGTAAGCACTAAAGGCTGTTTCCTTAAAAGGAACCAAAGCAATAGTAAGAGAGAAGAAGTTGAACAAATCCGACAGTGTTGTAGAGGGCATGTGGATTAAACCTGTGTAGTAATGAATAAAAGCAATTCTGTTGATGGTGTCTACTATCATTCAGTCAAGGAAAAGATGTGAGTGATGTGTTCCAAAGGAAACTGCAAATTACTCAGGGATGCATGAAGTAGCAGTGATGAGTGACTTTAATTACGCTGACATCTGCTGGAAGACAAATTCTTACTTCTCAGAATGGTAATTTCTCCTTCAGAGTGGAGAAAGGCACAAGAGGATCAGCTATCCTTAACTTGATACTGAGCAATAAGGAGGCTTAATCAATAAAATGTAAGTATGGGAAACTTGCAGTTGAATGCATGTCATTGAGTTCAGAAGAGTTTTATTTTTTAAACTAAACATAATCCAGGTTTCTATGCCCAACAAAATTGATGGGAAATTAATGGGAAAAGTTGCTCAAAATGCAAGAGATGTCTTTAATTGCATCATAAAAGTACTGTTGCAAACTGAATAAAAAAAATGACAGCTTATTGTGAATGAGCAAAAACAACAGAAATCAATGCAGATACACAAAAATGTCTGGAAAGAGTAGCACTAAGATATTTTTTATTTTATCTATGAAATTTATTTGTTGTCCATTTCATATCAATGACTCTGGGCAGCAGAGATAATACTAGGAAGATAGCTTAGCAAAGAACTACACAAAAATTGTTCATATGGTTTCAGGAAAACTAGGTTCCCAATCACCTTAGGTAAAAGTAAAGATTCCCCTCACACATATGTGCTAGTCATTCCTGACTCTAAGGGGGCGGTACTCATCTCTGTTTCAAAGCTGAAGAGCCAGTGCTGTCCGAAGACATCTCTATGGTCATGCGGCCGGCATGACTAAACACCGAAGGTGCATGGAACGCTATTACCTTTCCACCAAAGATGGTTCCTATTTTTCTACTTGCATTTTTACACGCTTTCAAACTGCTAGATTGACAGAAGCTGGGCAAGTAATGGGAGCTCACTCCATTACGTAGCACTAGGGATTTCAACCGCCGAACTGCCGACCTTGCTGATCGACAAGCTCAGCATCTTAGCCACTGAGCCACCCTTACTTGTACAATAAAATGGTTTCTTCAAATACTGCCCTTGCTGAAAGAAAAGTAAAAGAAGCAGATGGAAAAGAACATTTTGTCACATAGACATTTAAGTAGGAACATAGATATACATTTACAGTTCCAAATAAGTTATACATTTATGGAAACAGGCTTGTCTGCAAATACCAAGAGGAGAAGATATACAGAGCACAAAGAAAT